TGGAAGATGATAAAGGAGGTTTGGCTAGAGATGCTTCTCTATGCAGCTTTTTCAAGCAGCAACACTAGCCATGTTAAGCAGCTGGGGGAAGGCGGGGAATTTCTCTCACTTCTTTGGCTTTATGGTGGCATTATAGTGGCACAAGCTGCTGTATATGGAAAGAGATCCTGTCAACCTCTTCACTATTAAAAATTGTTGAAATTCAGATCAATTAATATTAGTATGAAAACAAATTTATTTGGAGTTATTACATAATTAATTTTTTTATTTAAAAATTTACTTGTAATATTGTATATGTTTATTTATTTAATTTTATATTATATTTTATTAAATATCATGTATACATAATATTATAACTACAATGTTATTTTTTTTTTTTTTTTGTACTAACCTTCCGGTATCCAGAAACCATATTGGGCCTGACTAATCCGAAATTGAGCCGGGTCGGACCCCATATGGGGGGAAGCTCTCCTAGCACCTGTTTTTCCATTCACAAGACTCAAACTCGAAATATTGCTTAAGGGGAACCGAGCTCCTTCCACTCGGACCAACAGGTTGTTGGTATAACTACAGTGTTATTAGCAAAAGCAATCTTGCAACTTTTGAAAAAAGGGCTAAGTGCTCCTAATATTTATTTTCGAGTTGAAATAAATTAACACTTAATAAAAAAAATTTAAGTAAACTGTCTACTTAAATTTTCATTTTAAGAGAAATCAAGCCAAATTTAATGGCTTACAATTTAACTTTCCATCAGACATTTTAAACGCACTTTTGCTTCTCACAATTCCAATCAGTGATACTCCGTTTGGTCCACTTTAATGCACGTTTTAGGTTTTTTTTTTTTTTTTTCAATTGTCATTTTTTCAATTGTCATTTTTAGTTTTTAATACAACATCAATTAACTTTTTTTTTTGGGCCTCAAATATTAATTATCTCTTTTATTGAAATAAGAGTAAAAATGAATTCTAAAAAGGCAAACGAGTACTTTAAATATATTTATCACCAAAAAAACAAGAGTGATTTATTACTTTTCTTAATTCTTGTGCTCTTTCCTAAAACGTCACCCCTTAAATATTATTAAGTGAGAAAACTTTACATCAAATAAATATTACGTTATTTTATTTAGTTTAATTAGTTTTACTTGGATACTCATTTTTTATTTTAACCCCATATGAATCAATAATTATATTCTTATGGATCGAAGTTATAAGTAATTAGATTTTAAAAAGAAAACTAGTGAAGTGATTTAGTTATTAACTTCTATTTACAAATTTACGCTTCATGAATTGCAAACTTAATTTTTGCTCCAAAAGACATGCATTTCCTTATTTGAGTGCTAGCTATTCGTTATCTAATTAATTCATTAACATTTTACAATC